GGGAGGTTGTTACCTCTGTATTTGGCAAAGGTGTGGCTAGTTCTGATGCCCACAGTTCAAGAAGGATATTGATAAATTGAAGAGAGTTCAGAGAAAAGCCACAATACTTATTTAAGGATTAGATAACATATCTGACTGACTCAAAGAGCTCATTTAACAAAGAAAAGGTTAATGGGTGACATGAATCCAATTTATACTACCTTTATGGGGAATAAATGTTTGATAATGAACTCTTCAGTCTAGCAGGCAACGTTTTAGCAAGATCCAATGGTTGGAAGCTGAAGATAAACAAATTCAGATGAGAAATAAAGGATACATTATTAAAAATAAGGGTATTGAACTAGTGGAATGCCTTAGTAAGTGTTCTGGTGGGTTCTCTATCACTGTAATTTTTAAGCCAATATTGGGTGTTTTTCCAAAAATATGCTCTACTTTTAACCATAACAATTGGGCTGGAAGCAGTAATGAATTCAGGGAAGTCATTTGATGGTCTGTGTTGTGCATAAATCCATCCTAGACTATCACAATGGTTTCTTCTGGTTTTTAAATCTATGAATTTATGAATATATGCTTATATAATGCATCTGCACAAAGAATAATTTCAACTATGGACATTTATATACTCTTAACATAATATTTTATAAGCCATTTCCTTGGGGATAGGGTGGAGGGAATGAAAAGGATAAATTCTATCATTTGGAGATAAATGGAAATACATAATTACAAGTTCCTGTCCTATAGATCTTACAAGATATTTATGAAACCTCTTGCAATCAGAGAGCAACTAATCATTGAGGCGCATCCCTTGAGGAACCACATCTTGGTAACTGTGTATACTTTTTACACTATAGCCAAATTAATTCTCTGTCCATGAAAAGGTATTTTGAAAACCTCAAGCTGTCATTGCATAAAAAAGTTTCTGTGCGTGCTCAAATTGTGACTTTTAAATAGAGTCTAACTCAACCAAGTAACTGATTTTCCCCAGTATGGTCAAAATAATTTCTCCAAAATGAAGAGGATTTGTGTGTCAAATTTAAACCTTTGGAAGTCAGCTCCTTTTAGGCTCCTTCCAAGAGCTTAACCTACCCTTTTGGGCACTATCACCTAGTATCAGAACTGTTAAAAAATTAGCAAGACTTTCTTGGGTGGAGGGGGGAGATGGTATTTTTCCCATTTAATTCATCACAAAAGCGCTTGAACAATTTGTATTCAAACTTTCCATGGGTAGGGCTAGGGTATTTATGCTTATATAATCAAACAATATATTCTGTATTAAATTGTGTAATAAGTGTGTATATAACATATGTAAAATTTAAATTATAGCTGGAGAGCTAGCTACAGCTGTATTTAAAAAAAGATTTATATAGCAAAATAAAACCCTCAGGCAGAGACCAGGCCTGTAAAATGTCAACCTGATATTTCAGCAAGTTATGAGCAACAGGAAATGGGGGGCTAGAATAGAAACACTTCAGCAGTTTTAAATATAGCTATACCTAGCCCTGCAGCTATAATTATTTTTATGCAATATTTTTTCAACACCCATGCAAGAAAACCTTTTATAAGATGAAATTTATGACAGAGGCTATATGGGCAGTGCTTTCAATAGTTACAGCAGTGGGGTGGGCCTGGTCAATTGCTGTGCTGGTTCAAATCCTCCTGTGCCAAATATTCACACACTTACTTATTCTGTCTTTAGACAAGATACAGTGTGCGTTGTTCTCTCAGCCAGTCTTTTATAGGCAAATAAATTACAAACAGAACAAAAACACACAGAAGAGAATAACACATAATATACTGAAAGTTGTTTCTACTGCTAGCATGTTTATTCTCTTGTATATTTTTATTATATATTTCAGATAGTGTTTTTGTATTAAGTGTTTCTGCTGAAGAATAGTTTTGTTCTTTAAAAAGTAGCACTGTCATTTGATTTGCATATCTCAATGGAATTTTAGCTTGCTAGTTTAGCTTTTACAATAATTTGAAAATTTCAACATTGGTTTAAAAAGACTCTTGGGTACCCAATTTAGTTGTCTAATTTCTAAATGGCTTAAATGCTGTAACTGGAATTAAAGTGAGCAAACTCTAGTATTTTCCCTTTGGGAAATGGTTTTAATTTAAAAAAAGAAAGTGATGTTGCTTTTTTTATGTAACATTTTAGATAGTGATCTAAACTTTTCTCTAAACAGGCAAAGAGTAAGACTTACAAATTACCATTAGCAAAAGGGCAAGACCATAACTGTATTCACAAAACTTTCATCAATGGTTGGGAGTGTGTGGGCTATATCAAAATAGCTATTTATTCATTTAAAAAAAATATTACTCCTGTTTAAGTGTGGCTTTCAGTAAAACATCAGTGTACAGTGAGGACATATTGTAACTGAGGCTTCAGTTTATCAAGTTTGTCTGGGCTAGTAACGATTAGAACACAGATGGATTTTTTTGTACATTAACTTGCCGGAACATGCACAAAAACCAAAAGTGGTGGGTAAGACTGAAAATTTGAATCTTTCAGTAGGGTGCAGACACTGTTACCAGATCGCTGACTCAAACAACTGCGGGGAGAGCTCTCAATTTCATGTTTCCTTTTTCAAGTTATATTTCATTTCTGGTTATACATCTGGAAGACTGATTCTATTCTGCTTTTTCATTTGTGGAGACTCATTTTCTCATGGCTGTGGGCCAGTCTATTGAAAGATGGGGAAGTGAGTTGAGTCTTTCCAATGTCCAAAGAAATCAACTCTTTCTTTTCTTTCAAATTTCCTCTTTCTTCTGGCAGTAGACTAAGTAGCCTGTTAGCTATGGCTGTACTCAATAATTATAGCAATGTATTTGTAAGACTTAGCTAGCCTTTCTTATGATTTATGTCAAGTGCTCACATATCCTGATGGCTATGATGCTCCTTCCCAGCTTCCTCCATGAAAAATATGTACAGCATGACAACCCCCACAGAGAACAGATCGGACACTATATATTGCAGTAAGAAATTTTTTGTCGGCTTTCATATTCGCCTGTAAATTCTGTCACCTGCTACAAAAATGTTCCTTTTCTCCATTCTAATTGCCTGCTGCAAGCTTCACGTGTCTCTGAAAGGGCTAAATGCTGTGGTTACCACTTCTCTATTTTGAGGTTGATGTGGTTTAGGTTTTGATGCATTGCTTGTGGCTTTTTATTCATTTATTTATTTATTTTTAGTTTGCCATTTAGGATATCCTGTTAGTTTTTGAGAGTGTTGAAACTAAACTTCTTTTTTATGGATAGCCCTGTTGCAAAGTCTTCTGTTCACCTGCAGAACAATTTTTAGCCTTTCTAGAGACACCATCAGCAAAGGTGTCAGTAAGTACCAGTTCTGATTATTGTGGGTGGTTGTTGGGGTTTGTTTTTTGTTTGGTTGGTTGGTTTTTAATGTGGACTAAGAACTGACTGTGATGATTAAGTCATTTGATATAGGCCGTAGAAAAGACATCAGATAATTTTATTTTTTCTGGCACTACTGACTTTGAATACATTTGAAACAGAAATCCAGATGTAAAGAAAAGCTCTGTATCCCATTAGCAGCTAGGAATCAGTCTGTGGACAGTTCCCACAAGATGCAGGCAAACCATCCTGAAGGGGTACATGTTCTACACTGCATCTGGGAGGGAGCATTCTACTGTGGGTAAAAAGACTCAACCTAGCGCGGGGCTTGAGGTGGTGTGCTAAAAATAGTAGCTTGAGCTCTAAAGCTCACTTGATTCCCTGTCCATCCAGAAATATAATTTATGTCATTATGTGCCAACAGTGTCCTTCTGCTATGTATATTGGACAGACTTCTCAGACACTTCGCCAAAGAATTAATGCCCACAAATCAGACATCAGACATCTTCACAAAGAAAAACCAGTTGCTTTTCATTTCAATCTACCTGGACATAGTCTTAATGACCTTACTACATGCATCTTTCTTCAGAGACTTTAACACCAGATTACAGAGGGAAACTTCAGAAATTTCTTTCATGCTTTAATTTGACACTTTACAAATGGGCCTTAAAGATGCTAATTACCTTAACCATTACAAAGATAGCTTCCCTACTTATCACCTCTGATTAGCCATTCATTTACTCATAAATAGCTGTTCCCTCCCTCCCTCTCCCTCACCCCACCTTCTGTACTAAATCTGATTTCTCAGTTTAATAATGTGTTCACTTTTTTCATTGTATTCCTTCGGTATATATGGTCATGCCAATTCTTTTCCAGAATATGATCTGAGGAAGTGGGTCTGGCCCATGAAAGCTCATCACCTATTAAACCATCTTGTTAGTCTTTAATGTACTACATAGTTTTTCCTTTTGTTTTAGCAAGATCAGACTAACATGGCTTCCTCTGTATTATTATTGATTCCCTGAGTGTGAGCTGAGGTAGCTGCAGTTCCTAGACTGCTATTTTTGTCAGGCTAGCTTAAGCCCCACAAGCGTGAATTTGTCTGTCTAGGCTAGGAACCTTGCTCTCAGCTGTAGTGTAGACATAACCAGGATGGATGCAATTTGTAGTCTTTGTGCTTCCAGTCCCCTCTGACACTCTTCCAAGTGGAGTGTGTGAATACTAATGATATTTCCTAGTCACCAGTCTGTCTCTCTCACCACTTGGGCCTTTTTCAGGGTTGGCTTTTTATACTTTTCATACTTTCCTGTTTAACTTGGGATCTGGTTCTGCCAACCTTGTTCAGTATTTCACTGGGACTACTCATGGAGTGAGGGTGACAAAATTAGGACCTAAAGATTTTGTTACCCAAAAGGGAGGGAGGAAGGGAATGAATATAATTTCAGTGATTCATCTCTAGATCACACGGAAAAATCAAAGTGTCAGATGGGAATGAGGAATACATTTCTGGGCTCTAATCTAAAAGGCCATGTTCCTTGGCTCTTGTGAATGTCATGTTGAGAATGAAGAGCAGTGTAAATAAACCAGTGGTTTTACTTTGTGCCTTAGAAAGCTCCCTTACTTTCTGTTGCTGTCCTCCCTGTCAGGATCTGTCACTGTGAGGGAGATGATGAAAGTCCCCTCATCACACCGTGTCGCTGCACAGGGACCCTGCGCTTTGTTCATCAGGCCTGCCTGCACCAGTGGATTAAAAGCTCAGACACACGCTGTTGTGAACTCTGCAAGTATGATTTTATAATGGAGACCAAGCTCAAACCTCTCCGAAAGGTACGTTCTTAGTAATTTAATTACATTCAAGTGTTGAAAAGATTAGATGACTGCACAACCTGCTGACATATTAAAGGCACATTTACATTTCCCAAATGTCATTTTTTTACTGTTACAACAAACACAAGGGGAATTCTCTACTCCACAGAAATTGGTCAGTTTACAGTAGCTGTGAACAGGTCCAGTGTGATTCATGTGCTTAGAACATGTATAATAATATCGTCTCATATAATATATTCTGCTGATTAAATTTTTCTCCCTTGCCTTTGGTGTTCTATTGGTGTGTACATAAATAATAAAGCCAGAAGGACGTCTGCGATAATCTAATCTGATCTCTTGCATAATATATCACCCAGCAACTCCTCCATCAAACCCATAATTTATGGTTGAGATTTATGCAGATATTTGTGCAGAGATGGAAAATGGAGGTAACCTGAATTATGCTTCCAGATGCATAAATGTTAATGGTTACATATGTATGAGTATTTATAATACTCAGGTGTATTAAGTTCCCTCTGTACTTCCTAGATACAAAATCAGTTAATGTAACCTGAAGTCAAGTGTATGCAGTTTGATGATAAATATTCTTCTAGGTTAATCTTTTAAAGTCAACTTAAGTGATAATGAAATGTCAGGATACCAGAGGTGCAGAGATGTTAATTTGTTGCAATAGGAAAATATTCTTTCTTTCTCTTGTGATTCTCCCGTCCCCCACCCAATACATCATTGTGTCTTGTTGTGGTTTTATTATTTGGGGGTTGGAGTTTCACAAGAATCAGCATCTGTGTTAAAAAGCGATGTCTTACTGTTCCCCAGATGTACTCAGAGCCAGTTTGGTGAAAAAAGATAATTTCACTGCTTTTTACTCTTGTTAACACAGCCTAGAGAAAGTGAGCTAGATTCTCGGCCTTCCTGTGTCTCACACAAATTGTTTAGCAAGTTCCAATCAGTTATACCAGCTAATAAAAAGCAGTGATGAAGACAATGGGACTGTACATAATTTGATCTGAACATGCTTTCTGACAGATGGGGATGTTACAGAGAAGGAATACTTTATATTAAATTGCCAGACCTGCAAACTTAGTCTGGGATCTGAGAACTGTTTAGAATCTGGTGTTGGTCATCTTCCTTTCCAAGTGCTAACTTATGGTTCTTGTCAGCCTCTTGTAACTAATTAGTCTTTAAGATACTACTAGACTGTTAGTTGTTTAAGTTTTTCCTTTTAAAAACTTCCTCTGCTGTCCCTCTGAAGCTTATCTACTCACTGTCTTTTTTTCTTCCTCCCCTTTAATTTTTTCCCCTTCTCCCTCTCTCCCTCCCTCCCCTTCCTTATTTATTCTTGGATCTGGACTTCCAACACTCTGGTCATCTGAAGAAGTGGGTTGTGCCCATGAAAGTTCATGATTCCATCTACATGTTTTGTTAGTCTTTAAAGTGCTACTAGACTATTTGTTGTTTTTTAAGTTTTTCCTGTTACTACCCCTCTGAAGCGCATGTAAATAAGTTATTAATTATTATTTATAGTTTTATTAATATACAAAAGCAAATTGTATCTGATGGAGCATACTTAAGATCCATTATTTTTAGTGACATCTTCTGGCATGATCTATACATATTGCTCACTCTCTTTTCAACATAGGTTTCAATTCTTCAATCACCAACTTAACTACCAAACTTACAAGTAAAACTTGCCATGTTTTCCACATGAATATACTGAGAGCATGTTATTTAAACATACAAGCTGCCTAATTCCACTTTACATTAAGTATAAACAGTGCGTGCATCTAAAGCCCCAAGAAATACAAGTTACAGATTCCACGATGAAAAGTATGAAAAATTAACATTACTATTAACATGTGAGCAGGTACTTCTCACTCTGAATTCTTCCATTCTGAAAACCATAAGGAATACTGGCAGATTTAGAATGATTGTGCAAAATCATATTTGTGTGTTTTATAGCTTTCTGCATTGAATAGCAAACACTTCACACATGTCTTTAGTCAGGTCCCCCTGATTCTCAGTCATCACAAGTTCTTGGGAATGTCTCTGATTTTATACATGCCAAAAAGTGTGCCTGTTTCTCAGAAAGTAGTTATTTTCCATTATAAAGTATTATTTCAGCAACATTAAAAGATGTCAGCCAGCCTCTCTCCCCCAAATTCATAACTTACCAATATTTTACAGTATGGGCCCAATCTATAACTGTATGGTCCTCATCCTCTCCCTGAAATCAATGGCAAAAGTTAAGTTTTATATTGTAATTTGGGCTCAGAAATATCCATTTTCTCCCCTCTCTCTTGCTGGTCTTCTCTGATTAATTCTTTTCTCTGCACAATACTTCAACATATCAAAGTTATCAGGAATTTCTTTGAAAACAATACTGAGACATTCTTAAAAATTATCTGTATCACTTGCATGAATGGAGCTAGGAGAGTTATATCCCTTAGTTATACAATCATATGTGCTTCAATTATCTCTCCTTATGTCACCATATTCAAATACACAATATAGGCCTGAAGAAGCTATTTTGTATGCTGTGGCAAAAGCAAAACTAGAATAGTGTAGCCCGCTGGGGTGCTCCTTGGGGAATGAAGGAGTTTATACACAGGCGATGAGTAGCCCAGCCTTAACACAAGGCAGGGGCTGCAACAGTTAACAGTCAGTAGCCCAGCCCTAGGGCAGGGAAAGGGCTCTCCCAGGACAAACCAACCAGGTCACAGTCAGTACATCCAGGTACGTAGTCTGTCTCCTTAGACAGGGAAGGTTCAGGCTCTTCGCCTGTGGCTGCACGCTGCTGGAGGGGAGACTGCCACCCAATCAAGGGGTGGCAAGGGGGACGCAGGTCCTCCCTTCACCACCACCCCCGGCCCAGGGCCCTAATAGCAGCTGGTAATCAGCTGCCAGGTCAGCCAGGATCCGGGCCAAAATTCTGAACTGTTGCACCGGGGTCAGTGGGGGATCCACTCCGCAACCCACTGGCCCCTGGCCAGACCAAGGTCGGTTATCATTGGGCCAGCTCCAATTCTCCCCTATGTCCCAGGTACCTGGTTCCCTGGGAAGTCTTCTGGGCGGCCAGGAGCGGGATCCTCTGGCCATAACAGCAGGCCTGCGTGGTAATCCTCCCGAAGAGGGCCAGGAGGCCCAGGCCAGTTGTCCAACTCCGCAGGCTCTGGCTCTGACTCCTCCGCCAGCCAAGGCGGGGAGGCTTTTGGCTCCTCAGTGGTCAGGGAGGCAGAGAGTGCCTCTGGCTCTGGCTCTGATAGGGCCCAGACTGGCCTTGCAGGAAGTCCTTTTATACCCCGAGGCCCACCCCCTGACTTCCTCCCAGGTGAGTCCAACCTGGCTCAGGGAGGGGCACTTCCTCCTCAGGGTCAGTGGGTGGCCACTCCAACCCACTACAAATAGGAAGAAGAATCACAAAGAGATCAACCATATGAATGTTATGGCAGGGACACAATCTACATGAATGTGGTGGATTCAAATGTTCTGACATATCCCAGTAATGTTCTAACTTGTTCACAAATCCCACTCAGCTTTTCCGGTACGTCTAGACTACAAGTGTCTTTCGAAAGAGGCTTTTTCGAAAGAATCATTCAAAAAAGCCTCTTTCGAAAGAGAGCGTCTAGACTACAGGCAGTACTTTTGAAAAAGCAAGCCACTTTTTTTGAAAGACAGCTCCTAAGCAGTCTGGATGCTCTCTTTCGAAAATGCACAGTTCACGTTCAATAATGCCTTTTTTGAAAGAGCACATTTGAAAAGAGGCATTATTCCTCGTAAAATGTGGTTTCCTGCGATCGAAGAAACTGCCACGTTCTTTCGATTTACTTTCGAAAGAATGTGGTAGCAGTCTAGACACAGGGGGAAGTTTTTTTTTTTAAAAAGGCCACTTTTTTCTGAAAAAACCCTGTAGTCTAGACATACCCTTCAAAGGCATGACATAAGGCAGAGCCTGGCCTTCCTGTGCACTGCTATCCTGATCCCATTCCCTTTCAGGTTGATGGGAGTTTTACAGCTGATCTCCATGGTACCAGGCTTAGTTGCTTAACCCCCAAAATGGTATTTCCTGTTTCTAGTTGGTTTGGAACAGTGAGAGTGATTTTTATGACAAGGGTAGTCAAGTAGGAGCATTTTCAGGTTAACTCTGATCTGTAGAATTCTTGAAGGTTTATACTTAATAGAAGAGAGGCCAGAGAGACTACCTAACTTTACCCATGTAGTCCAGCTGGGCCTACTCTTATGGCTAAGTCCTATAGAAATGGTAATCTGTCTCTCGGGGGTGGGGATGTCAGTCATGTTGTAAAATTTAATAGACGATTATAGCATTTTATTTTAATACATTGTATTGGATGGTTCAGAAAAACCTGCCATTCTCTATTAGTTAAATTCTGTAGACTTTCATATTTACATTTCTGTACTATTGATGTTATTGCTATTTAATTTATATAGAACTATCCTATAGCTCTAGATCTGCCCATGTGTAGAAAGTTGTACATTTTTAAAATAGTCAAAGGTTGTGAGAAAGCATGTACGTGTTCCAGGATAGTTCAAAGTAAGACTATGATTACATTATAGGACTTACCATGGTGCAGCTGTGCTGCTGTAATGCTACCAGTGCAGACGCTATAAGTCAGTAGAAGAGAGTTGTCCTGTTGACTTAATTACTCCAGACCCTGTGAGTGGCAGTAGCTATTCCAGTGGATGTAACTTATGTTGCTCGAGAGGGGGTTTATTTACACCCCTGAGGAGCATAACTTATAGTGACTTAAGCTGTAGTTTATATATAGCCTAAAGCTATGTCAACACTGCAGGGGAAGGTTGAACTAACATACGCAACTCCAGCTATGTTAATTACGTAGCTGAAGTCGACATACCTTAATTTGAATTTCCACACAGTTTCCACAGCAGAAGGTTGACGGTAACAAATGCTCCCTTACGCCTCACGAGGAGCAAGCGTACCGGCACTGATAGGCGTGCACCCTCTAAGTTTAATTTAGTTGGTC